AGAGAGAGAGAGAGAGAGAGATTATACAATTGTTTTACAAAGATCAGGTGAAAAATCAATATTGTTACATTTAATTCTAAAAATATCACGTAATGTAATTGTAAATATAAATTATTAATAATTTATAAATAACTTTAATAATTTATTAATCATAATATAAATATCTCTTGTGATAATAAAGTAATTAAACTGAATAAAAATTAAATCCTCAATATAAAAAATAAATATTATATTATAAACTTATTCTACATAAAATAATTCAATATTAATTTATAAGTAAGACCCCGATCGTATATTAATGTTACTATATATATGAATCATCGTTTATGATAGTATAGATGAGTATAAATAATAGCACAAAAGTGGCCCTACAATGGCCCTACCGCGTTTTGATGAAAATGATATAAAGAATATTTTGTGGTTTTCATTGTGTTTCTAAACGAAACGTTTTATAACTGTTTAAAGTATTAATAATAAAGAAAAATATGTTTTGTTACATATTTTGTGCGTTTATTTTTGATGTAAAATATAAGTCAAGAAAACGATTTGTAAGTTTTTGTCGTAAATTTTAGTTTCATTTTTATAGTCTTATTCCCGATTCAAATGAAATAATAAATTTCTATTTGTAAAAAATTATTACTTTGAATTTTGGGTCACAACCGACCCATACATATTACATACGAGATTATGTTAACACAGATTAGTTGCTCTTATAATACAATATTCGGCTTATCATCCGATGGCCGGGTATATGAATGGACTGTTAACAGCCCTTCTGTAATTTGTTTAAAATTATTTCACATTCAGGTCAATTTATTATACATTTCTATACCATTGGTTTCAATGGTTTGAATTCTACATAAATTATAAAATTTAATATAATTTCACATTAATTACAAACCAATACTTACTGTCCGTCTCTGATATCGTCGGAATCAAAACCAAATATTTTCGCTGCAATGAGTGCCAGACTATAACACATAACTTTATATATCTATCATTTGTGTCATAAGTATTAGAAATCAACACATTATCGGGTGTGAGGTCTCTGTGAATGATATGATTTTAATGCAAATACTCCATACTTTCCACCAATTGTTTGAATATATCATACGATATGTAATAATCAAATGGTTTATACATTTTAAACAATTTCCGCTTAGTTTTGATCAAATCAATTAAACCATTGAAACACAACTCTATTTTAATTTATAGACAATTGTATTCAATCCACAAATAGTAGTAATTAATGACAAAAATTGGGCGCAATTTTATCTAATTTTCCGTTTCTCTCAATACAATCTCTCCAATGGACTAAACACTCGTTTATTGTTGTATTATTTATATTAAATGTAGGCCAAATTGACCATGAAACAATCTAACACCATTACATTCTGAAATTATTAATATGTATTCAAAATCTAACGTTAAATCATTGAAACGTATATCAAATGAACACAAATAGTGAATACAATGTAATAATTGTCTCAACAATTGCTGTGAAATAAGGAAATCAATTGAAATGATTGCCAACGAATGATCGGTTTGTGTCCCAAACATCACATGTTTTGCATTTATTACATCCGATTAAATGTAAATCTAATTATTTTCAATCTAAATGTTGTAAAAACGGTTTTAATTAACAGGTTTTTAAAATAAATAGTAAAAATATATTTGAAAACAAGTTTACAAAAAAGTTTGATAAAATATGTAATGAAAACCATAAGCAAACAGTAACTAAAAATACATTATAGAGATAATAGAGTACACATTTTGCATGGCTCGCTGTACTGTTTATACAGTGTTTATATGTATTGGTATTACTGCGCGACTCGTAATAAATGTTTGGTTTGTTTTCACGCAATGAATGTCTGATTGAAAGTGAATTAACAGACAATCGGATGCAGAAGTGGTCAATCGATCGGTGAAACCATTGAAACGATGCTTACATTCATTGGATATATCAGTGATCGCAGGGATAGTGAGATAGAGTGACCACAAGTCATATAATCATAGGTTTATGTAATTGAAAGGCATAGCGATTGTTACGCCTCTAGTGTTGTATTTGTTGCGCATTTCATCACTTATTGAGACAATTGTTGTGTTTGTTTAACACATGTCTCAGGGATTAAGCAATGGTTTGACTCGATTATCACCGGACAACTGATCCAATGGTAGTGTCGCTGGAAATCATTGTCTTACTCGACAGACACGTGTTGTCTAATCCAAGAGTCACTTACATTACACCCATCGGTGAAAGTATATACCTGTGATCACACCGTCTGATCCATCACTCCTTAAGTCACTCACACTATAACTCTTTGTATCAATTGTTTGATATGTTTGACAGGCTTTGAGACCCGGAAGACGGCTCAACACCACAGGAGTCACATCACGGCTCCAGACAGTCATCTCTGAGGCCGACGTCACCGCCGAAAACATAGATGTGATTAGTTATACGAAAGAGCAGCCAATGGGCGCACCGCTGGTCACTGTTGCCATCGTTGCCCGAACTCTGGCACAGATTTGGGACAAACCGTTGATCGGAGTTAACCATTGCATCGCTCGTGAGTGTTGTGTCCATCACTTATGAACCACTATTTGATGACTAAATGTCTGTTTGTTATCACTTGCGGACAGACATAGAGATGGGCCGACAGGTGACGGGTGCGGCCAATCCGACGGTACTGTATGTGAGCGGAGGTAACACTCAAGTGATTGCTTACAGTCATCGGCGGTACCGTATATTTGGCGAAACGCTGGACATCGCTGTCGGCAACTGTTTGGACCGATTCGCACCGAGTCTTGAAGGTATTGACAACAGTTTGTACGCCAATTATCACTAATTTAACCATTTTTTATCCCCGATGTTAGTTATCCAACGATCCGAGTCCTGGCTATAACATCGAGCAAATGGCCAAAAAGTGAGTCAATGTTTTGTCATTGTTTGAGACTAACACTCACTGACCAGATGTCTGTCTCACCCGATATAGGGGTCAGAAGTATTGTGCGCTTCCGTATGTCATCAAAGGCATGGATATGTCGTTTTCGTGTTATTTATAGAAATAAATAATTGTTTTTCCATTTATTTAATCATTTTATTGAATTTAAAAAACGAGTGACAAATAAAATTCAATACAATATAAAAATTCTGTTTTTCATTGCTCTATACAATCAAATATTTGGGCCCATCTGTGCGGCCGTCGCCCTGAAATCTGGCCAAAACGGTCGGCCAAAATCAGGCCTCGATCTGGTCACGTGTGGTGTGACGACACGCGCGACCGACACATAGTCATTGACACCCGGTTTCATGAGATTGTATTTGCCTTTCCCGATGTATGCGATCTTCACGAACCACTTCGTGACCACTTTTGGCGCCACTGTTGGTGTATTAGCACCGGTCGGCGGGTCTCCGGCCACGAATTTCTTATTCTTTTTGCTGTCTTTCACCTCAAAGACGACCACTTTATCGGCGCGATTGAGAGACAACCCCTTCTGTTAGACGAGACATTGTTTTGCATACAAATTACAATCCATTGGTAATAACTGTATAATAATTCAAACAAAACTCACGTATATTTTGTCACCCCAGGGGATGTCCGCCCGCACGGCCGCCGTCCAGACACTAACGCCGTCTCCGCTGAACTCCCAAACATAGTTGGCCTCCAATTGTTCGCTAAACCACTGGAGATACGGGTTTTGTGTTTCCAAACGCTTCGCATATCGATAATTGAAAGCCAATGGGAATTTACCGATCACTTTCTGCAACTCCGGTACACTCATACCGACGGTGTGTTTCACTACTGTATATGTCATTCCTTCGCAGTGATGTATATCATTGATAGTGTCAGTCAATGGGTCCGTCATTCCGATGGTGTCAGTCCTGGAATAGCGATCACCGGATATACAGCTGGGGTTGCGATAGGAGGGGACAGTTGACCGAAGGGCACGAGTATATCACTGTTTACTATAAACCAGAAATTATTGCCTTATTTAATACAAATGAGATTATGATAACACAGATTAGTTGCTCTTATAATAAATACTCGGCTTATCATCCGATGGCCGGGTATACCAATGGACTATTAACTAAGCGCTAACTAATTATGCAATGAATTGATTGCAAATGAGTAGCAAAACGTTATCAACAAATGGCTTTCAAATGCAATACAAATGGTATTAATAGTGAATACGTTTGAAAAACAGACACAAATGCCAACAATTGGATGAAATGCTGCGTTCACTGCGCAAACTCTCGCCAACACTGGCTCTACGCCTATTGCACTACACGTAGACTCGCTGTACACACACTCTATTCGTGTGAATGGTTCGGAAATACAGTACGGCTTTAAAATCTGTTTACAATCCATGAAAACTATGGTTTGACGCGAAGATCACCGGCCAATTGATCCAATGGTAGTGTCGCTGGGCTTTGAGGGCAGCGCTAATAAGCTGGGAATCGGTGTCGTCCGCGACGGACACGTGTTGTCAATCCAAGAGTCACTTACATTACACCCATCGGCGAAGGTATGTACCGGCGATCACATCATCTGATCCATCACTTACTATATCACTGTTTGGATCAACTGTTTGGTGATGTGTTGCGTAGGCTTTGAACCCCGGAAGACGGCTCAACACCACAGGAGTCACATCACGGCTCTGCTCCAGAAGGCGCTAAAGGAGGCCGACGTC